AATAATAATTAAGGCATATCTTATGATTTCTCCAAGGCATGTTTTCTGAAAATTCCAGAAGCTGCATTTTTTCTGGTCTATGTGTAATTTGGGGATTTTTCTGTTCCGAGTCTGGAAACCAATTCTGAGGTTAGGTTAGGTAGCAAATTCCAAAATCTTCCCAGGAACTGGAAAAATTCTGCATCAATCATGATACCAAGATTTATTTCTTCAGTATTGGTGAAAGATGAATAGTCAGCTGTATCTCCACCTGTACGTGAAAATAAAGTACTGTAGTGATTTTTTTGTATGGTATCACAATAGAAGGGGTATAAGTAATAGTGAAGTAAAGGGGCTTTTGGAGTGGCAGAGTAGGTAAAGGGTGAATACAGAGGAGTGGAGGAATGGTTGTAGAGAAACTCACTGAGATGTTGAGAAATGTGAGAAGGATGCAGCAGAGGAGGATAGTAAAGAGGATGTACAGAGGTGACGTAGTAACTCGGTGTGATGGGTAGAGGGAGACCACTGAGCTACATCAAGGGAGGGAAAGGTTGAGCAGTACATTAAGGAGAGAACAGTGGAGGGGATAAAGGGGAATAGAAAGGGCAAAGGAGGTATGTAATGATAAGGTGGCCTAGAGGACCATAGTAACATGTCTACCTCCTGAGAGTGGTAACATATCTTCAAATAGGTTATTCTTATTCTGTGTACCGGTATTCATAAACATTCAAAACTCAATTACTGTATTTCTCTTCACTACACTCACATTTATTATACATCTACCATGTTTATTTTGTTTGTATTAACGAGCCTGTAAGGTGGTTGCACACTTAGCACACCTATTTTGCTTACCTTCCTTTGAATAATTTTTCTTCACCTTTGGTATATTTAATGATGCAAGAAGATAGTCATGTGGTGTAGCTACCTTATCAGTGACACAGGTGACTTAATTAAACTTAATCAAGGTGCTTGTCCTGAGTTCTGTGTACAGCTTCTGTGGTCAGTACGTGTATATTAATTTGTTGCTTCTTTCCTTTACAATACAGTAGTATCAAAGTACATGTACAAATAGTCCCCCCGACCCCCAGACAGTAATCCATAATTGTCTTGTTACCTACAACTTAATGCTGCCTCACTTCAGCCTCTTTCCTATTCTCAAATGTGTTCCTTTATTCAGTGTCCAGGTCAGAGATAAATGGGTCAAAGTTAACCTGGATGCTACACTTCTCATAGGTGAAGATAAGGATGTACAACAACACAGTTGTTGGTACAGTGCCAAAGAAAGGACATGGTGCTATGTAAATGTCTTTTAATATCAAGGGCACTTATTATCCTTCAATCATGACTAAATTGTGAGCTTCCAGGTAATGTACTCCAGCAAAGATTCTCACAACTCTGATTTCTTAACTTTAGAAAGTAGATATGCTATGTCCTTAGTTTTCATATGGCATGACGGGCTCATCCTCCCACCTTGCACTGTTGGCCTAATGTGAGGGCTCTGATGTAGGTGGGGGGTGCCTATTAACCCTCTGGTAATCCTTGCCATGGTCGGAAATCTCAACCCCTCGTGGTCTTTCAATGCGAATACCGTCATGTACAATCTCGCCTCCTCCCAGTCTTTCAACACAGGTTGCATGGGTCACAGGAAAGGGTTTTCCAGTTTAGTAAACATTGGGTAGAGCAATCCAAGCATAAATTACACCCTTAGAGATGCATCTGCCAGCCTACGAGATTTGTGAGGTGGTTGATAGGGCTGGCCCACTGTTGCCACGTTTCTGCTTACAGGAGGGGTGCTCTCAGTGTGAGATATGGCTGAGCAAGAGGGGTTATACCAGCACGGGAGCACTTAGTGACACAAAATGCATCAAGAGAGCATGAGAGAATTAACGGGAGATCTCTTGAACCAGAACTGCTGAATCAGTTTTCACTGTGGTGAAGTCATGGTTCTGTCCCATATGAATCGGTGTGAATCCAAACACTCCCAGGACAGGAATTTTATCATAGAAAAACTTATGTTTATAGTAATACAGTAAAACCTCGATTAACCGACTTTCGGATTAACAGCCGATCCCATACCCCTAATTTTTTTTTTTTTTTTTTTTACTGATTAGCCCACCCGGGCACAGTTCACTGACCCACATCGGGGCCTGGGGGGCAATAATAATAATAATAATAATAATAATAATGATAATAATAATAATAATGATAATAATAATAATAATAATAATAATAAAGAACCATAAAGAAATGCAAAAATGAAAAAAAATCAAGAGTGAGAAACAATATACCTGTATGTATGTTGTGTTGTCACTAGTAAGATAAATAATTGAGACCCTGCAATTGTGTGTAAATGAGGCAGAAAGTCAGATCAGCAACCTGGGACTTGGTCACAATTTTCGTGATGCCATATGTTCCTTGACTTTTCCGTTTTTTATTCACGGTTTCTGTGCTGGTTCATATTTATTTACTAAAGTGGTTAATGTTTAAAAGCAAATTCTATTGAAATGTGAATGGCAAATGAACAAAAATGAATAGAGGGACTTAAGTGAGGTAGGTTAGGGATAGGTACTTTGAAAATGCATGTTATTTCCGTAGACTTTATTTACTATTAACCGACCTTTTGGATTATCCGTCGGCCCCTTCCTCCCATATATGGGCGGTTAATCGAGGTTTTACTGTATGACAAGACAATCTACCAGTAGTTACAAAAATCACACGTGGTACAGTATGATTTTTTGCTGAGGAACAACATTTACCTTGCCAGAATAATGTTCCATGTACTGTCCCATTTACTGGTAATACCGTACACTAAAAACACAAAAGCAGATGCTATTAGTTCCCTGTACGTATTTAAAATTACCATAGTGCACCTGTAGTTTAACTCAAGTTTGATAGACATATGTTGTTATATTTTATTAGCATTTAATGACCCTGAAAGGTGTTGTTGGTGCAAAATGCATAGCTACACATAGCTACTACACTCAACCCTCACTAATTCAATACAGGTGTATTCACAGTTCGATATATTGATATAATTTGATATTTTTTATTGATACAGTTGATACAAATAACATGAAATACCTACAAATATACCATATATGAAATACAGTATACTCTTTATTTAACGGAATCCGATATAATAAACTCGATTTAGCGGAAGGATTTTTTCCGTTATTTTTTGCTCGATTTAGTGAACTAGTTCACTAAATCGAGAATAATTCCATTAATATGCTCACACCTATGAAGACACCTCAGACACATGATATGTACGTATAACCATTAGAAACATTATTCATGGCTTACCTTAAACTAGGGGGTTCGGTGTTTGTTTTAAAAAAAATTCTATTTCCAAACTTTTTTCCAATTGAAAGCTGCGCTCTTTTGACTCTCCCCCACACCAATTCTTTTCTGAGACTTCTGAGAGACTTTCAGCGTGATGTCTAAGCACAGTAGTTAATTGACCGAGAGGTAGCAGTGAACAATACACACGGTGGTGTCAGGACACAGACTGAGCGGATGTAAACAAACCCCACACGCCAAGTGGAGCAGTTGCCACAAAATTTAACGGAATCATACTTGATTTAGTGAACTACACAGTTTGCTAAATCGAGCGAAAATAACGGAAATTCGATTTAGCGGAAATTTTTATTTAATGGAAAGGGGTGACTCGAATTAGTTCATTAAATCAAGAAAATACTGTACAATATATACCAGTACTGCATCCCGAGTTGGATGTGAGGAGGGTGTTATCCAGTGTGACTCTACCAAACATCACAGATTTTCTTTGGGTACAGTACTCTGGTTTCCTTCGTTACTAACACTGGAAAATGAAGGTCATAGCAGAGCAGACCGACCACCCAACCAGCTAATAAGCCAACAATGAGTAAAAATGGTAAATTAAGAAAAAAATATATAAATGGAAATTAAAACAATGAACATTTAATCACTGTATAAATACAAAAGGAATTAAATAAGTTGTAGTAGTGAGTTATTTATGGAGAGGCATGTGTGGGTATGTTTTCTCTTTCATTACTGATCATAAACTGTTGTTCCTTCATCATGCTCATGTTATCTAAAAATGTAAAATTTCATATAAGGATTGACACATTTGTTGTTTCTTAGTTACAGTAGTTACAGTGCAAAGTGTGTTTGGTGAAGGATTTTTTTTTTCTTCTCTATGTACAGTATGATTTCAGGTGATATCTAAAACAATAATTGTGTTCATATGTAACCAACTTTTGCTACAAGTGTCTACACATCTACAGTAGAAAGTTCTAGTTAACCCTTAAGCCCCGGGTTAGGGTGCTGCTGGTAGTACCCCCCACGCGGGGTTAAATCGAGAACAAAAATAAACATTTCCAAAATTAATAAAAAAAAAAATAAATAAATAAATAAATAATAATAATAATAATAATAATAATAATAATAATAATAATAATAATAATAATAAAAATGGCGGGAAAATAAGCGGACGTTCTGGAATGTCACCCGGGGCCTAAGGGTTAATTACATGATGGCATTTGAATTATTTTCTTGTGTACAGTATTTTAGAATGTGAAAAAACATTTACCGGTATATACCAGATGTTTTAAGGACCCTTCTCTATTTCACAAAATACAATCATGACTTATAAAGATTGAGCAAATTTTGAGGTTATGTGTGAGGTGATATCGAAATGTTGGGGTAATTCTATAATTTAGGCCAATCCAATTGATCCATAGCCCCAACAATATGGAAGTAGGAAGGTTCAGTGTACCGGACTCCACTTGAATTCCCTAAAATGTTTATTGGTATCTAGGAGATAGATTGTGTGTGTGTTTGGGTGGGATTTTTTTATAGTACTGTATACTGTACATATAAGAAATATTAACAAAAAAATTTATCTCAGCCAGTTTGGGATCATGAAAAAGTCAGAAATATAAATTCTTTCATTTGTATTTGCATAAGAACCCTGTAAACACAGGCCTCTTAATACAAGTACTGTACATTATGCTCATGTAATTTTTTTTCTTTTGTTTCAGTGGACCCTCTCATCCATTGCCCAATGTGCAAAAAAGGTTTCCCCCAGGAGAGTGTATTAGACAACATGTTTGTGTGTGAGGCTCAAAGCAGTGGGGACCGAGGATCAAGTAGTGCGACAGAAGAAAGCTTTACCTGTACTTCTTGTACAGATGAGGCAGTGGCGACAGGCTTGTGTACAGACTGTTCCGAGTGGCTTTGTGATCAGTGTATTCAGGTGAGACTGTATATTAAGAACCTTAGAGATCTGAATATTTGTGGTTCATAGATTAGAGTGTGACTAAAATATTTTATGAACAGAAGGCAATGGAGTTTGTACGAGTTTTTTTTTTTTATTTATACTATATTTTTATTAAATTTTTTTGTAATTATTATTATTTTTTTTTTCGGGTAAGAACATGATAGGTAGTGAACAGGACAGGGACATTGAGAAGTTTCTGTGAAAATTTCTCTGATAATAAGTTGGTGGTGTATTGAAGATGGTCAGGGACTTGGATGTTCCCACTCCTCAACCATTACTACATACAGTATTACAGTACAGTAGGCCCTTCAAATTCACGGGGGTTAGGTTCTCAAAATGGCCATGAATAACATTTGTTGTTGGGGAGGGGGTACATTTTTACTTGTGTGCAAAGAAATGTATATTCCCTTTATGTGTTTGCCCTTAGGACAATTATTTCTTTTACTTGTATTGTACAGTATATATGTGTGTGTGTGTAGAAACACATGTGGGGAACAGGTTCTTTGGTTCACACTCAGGATGGGATGGAGAAAGGAAACTCACAATGTGCTCTCTGTATACATGTTGTATTGGATGTACAATGCAGCTTGGTGCTGGGAAGTGGCAGCGTGGTTACAAGCGTGATGTAGAGAGAGCTGGTTGGTGAGGGTGCTCAGAGGGGGACCAGTTTGTGGGTCGCCATGCTCGCTGGCGGGAGCGAGGGCCGCCAGGCAGCGGCAGAGGAGGTGGTGTTGCTTGCTGGTTGGTGTAGGTAGAAAAGAGAGAGAGATCACCACGAGGTCAGGTCTTAAATAGCGTGGGGTAGGCGTGGGTAGATAGTTGACCTCCGCTCCGTGGGCAGCGCTGGTTGACCTAGACCACGAGGCATACACTGGAGAATTCGTGGGGTCGGGTACTCAGCGACAAACAGCGTTTGTAGGGGAGAAATCCACTACAATACTCCCTCCTTCCCTCCAGGCTGTATACATATTGTATTGGATGTACAATGCAGCTTGGTGCTGGGAAGTGGCAGCGTGGTTACAAGCGTGATGTAGAGAGAGCTGGTTGGTGAGGATGCTCAGAGGAGGACCAGCTTGTGGGTCGCCATGCTCGCTGGCGGGAGCGAGGGCCGCCAGGCAGCGGCGGAGGAGGTGGTGTAGGTTGCTGCAGCTGTAGCTAGAAGAAGAGAGTTGGTTGGTGAGGATGCTCAGAGGAGGACCAGCTTGTGGGTCGCCATGCTCGCCGGCGGGAGCGAGGGCCGCCAGGCAGCGGCGGAGGAGGTGGTGTTGCTGGCTGGTTGGTGTAGGTAGAAAAGAGAGCGGTCACCACGAGGTCAGGTCTTAAATAGCGGAGGTAGGCGTGGCTTAGTAGTTGACCTCCTTCATGTAAAGCGGCGCTGGTTGACCTAGACCACGAAGCATACACTGGAGAATTCGTGGGGTCGGGTACTCAGCGACAAACAGCGTTTGTAGGGGAGAAATCCACTACAATACCCCCTCCTTCCCTCCAGGCAGTGTAGGAGACTTGTTGTCTGCAGGGTTGCATGGCACATGTGAGGCAGAACGGGCGGTGCATGCCACATGTGGGACATAATGGCGATGGCGTGGATGAGCCGGTCGCTGGGGACAACTGTCTAGATACACAATATCTGTGGGAGTAGAGAAGGAGAAAAAGGGTGTGTGGAGGCGATGAATGTTGTGCTTCCCTCACGGCAGGTACAGAGTCGTCAGATGCGCCTGCTGGGGTGTGTGGGCCTGGGTCAGGAGCAGGGGCTGCGTCAGCAGAAGCGGATGAGGGCTCGTGACAGCAGCTGGGTCCACGACAGCAGCAGGGTGCAGGACAGTAGCAGGGAGTACCTGAGGAAGAAAAGAGGGGTGTGTGGGTCCGCACTCAGGCGCATGGGCCGTGTCGGGAGCAGGGGCTGCATCAGGAAGACCGGCAAGGGGTACTGCTGGGCTGGGGGCGGCGTCTGAGGTAGGACGGGTGTTCTGGGGTCGGTAGGACGTGGTGCTTGGGGCAGGAAGAGGAGCTGGTGTCTGCTTAGAGAAGCAGTGCTGCTCTAGGGTGTCTAACCTGCGGTTTAGAGACCGTAGCTGTAGAGCTGATGAGAGCTGCTTCTGGGTGGATAAGCCAGTCTTCCATGTTGCTTGAAGACTGGGAGCGTGATCTGTTTCTCCTCCCTCCTGTGTGAGTGCGAATCTCCAGGGGTCACCATTTGTGGGGTATGGGATGTTTGGGTTCACACTCAGGATGGGATGGAGAAAGGAAACTCACAATGTGCTTTCTGTATACATGTTGTATTGGATGTACAATGTAGCTTGGTGCTGGGAAGTGGCAGCGTGGTTACAAGCGTGATGTAGAGAGAGCTGGTTGGTGAGGATGCTCAGAGGAGGACCAGCTTGTGGGTCGCCACGCTCGCCGGCGGGAGCGAGGGCCGCCAGGCAGCGGCTGAGGAAGTGGTGTAGGTTGCTGCAGCTGTAGCTAGAAGAAGAGAGTTGGTTGGTGAGGATGCTCAGAGGAGGAGGGGAGAAATCCACTACACACACACACAAAACACATACCTGTACAAATAAATAATAATGGGAAAATCCTCTCACAAATAATCAGAAACAAATGTATATTAAAAATGTTAAGTCTACCCTCAAGTCTACTCCGCTTTTTGTTATTAATAAAGCACTGAGTAAACTTGAGGGTAGACTGTCGCATTTTTAATACTACATTTGTTTCTGATTATTTGTGAGAGGATTTTCCTATTATTATTTATTTGTATTGTATGTGTGTGTCTACACACACACACACACACACACACACACACACACACACACACATACATATACTGTATACAAAACAGGTAAAGGAAATTATTGTCTTTAGAACGAATGACTCCCTGTCCTGATTGCAAAATGCCGGCAACTTTAAAACTACCCGCAGACATTCTTGGGTACATCCAGGGTGTCATCCACGAATAATAGAGGACCGCGAAATTAAAATCGCAAATTATCCGGGCGTACTGTACTATCAAATTATCAGATAAATTCTCAGTTTAACTTCTCAGTGGGCTAAAAAAACATATACTGTACACTATTTACTGTGTTTGTACCTAGAAAGATTATCATTTGCATTCTACTCAAAGTCGCCGTCATCCCCTCTGTATTATGTAATGAAATACAAGGTGATTTAAAATATTGTAATAGCTTATAGTACAATATACATAAGTGTATTTTGAAATAATGTAATGTACCATATCTAATACTGTACTGTAGTTATTGCAATAAATAAATAAAAATTTGCCTTACTGTATACACAAATGAACACAATAGCAACATATTGTACTGTACAATCCTTAAATGTTGGAAATGTTCACCACTAGCACACAAACATTCACTTTAACATTGTGCAACAGATTAGCACACAGTGATGCATGTGTCCTATAAAATGTTTGGAGGTGTATTGCCAGGTGACCTTGGACAAAATTAATGAGTGGTCCCCTTCGACCAATCCTCAGCCCAGGAAACTCCACATGAAGAAAGCTTTGAACATGGTGTTGTGCCATCTTTCTTAAAGTTAATTCACCAACTCTGTACTTTTGTTTATTCAATGCAATAATTATTAAAGATACAAAATTTCAAAATGTGTTTACATTATTTTGAATTCTCCTGTACAGTATTATAAGACTGCTTTGATTCTTGATAGGTTCCTATTGTAATGCTTTTTTATTTGCTTTTATGGTATAGACAGTATTTTTATTAATGATACAGTACTGTTACTTGCATTCATGATTTTTAGTTATATATTTCTTAATTATTATTACCGGTATTATTATTTTTATTTTTTTACCATTCCCTTCAATGTGGGGCAATAGGGTATTGTCTTCATTTCTTTCTGTCACTAAATTAAGTCAAGTGGATTTTTACTAAACTTGGCAGGTTTGATCACTATGACAAACTTTTGGTGCAAATCACCCATAACTGACCAAGTTTTGCCATAATAAGGGTTTGTGCAGTGATAACACACAGGGTTGTTGTGAGTATTATTAAAGAAAACATTGACATACAGAGGTACTTGTAATACAGTAGTCTCAAGCAGTGACTAAATTAATTTACAGTATCACTTTTAATTTTATTTAGTGAAAATCATTTGTACCATTAACCCAATATAAACAGCAGGCCCTTGTTATTCACAGGTTAGGTTCTTGAAGAACCCAACAAATGTTGAAATCCTGAGATTGGAAACCTTAGTTTGTGGGGAAAAGAGAGTCAGGTTCCTGGCATGACTGAACATGGAGGGAAATAGTAAATGGTTAAAAACAATGACTACAACAAACACTGTACCTGTACATGATAATAATGCAGGCATCCTCCTTATCTGAATGGGTTAGGTTCCTTTAGAGCCACCCAGTTATCAGATGTTCAGGTAGTGAATAATACTGTTTGATTATATTACAGAAAGTTAGTTACGTATATATAACCTGTATGTATTAGTTATTACCATATACAGTTTCTTGTAAACACAGTTCTGGATACTATTATATACAATTAGTCAGTGTCCACCACATGCAACCAGGATAGACAATGGGTGGTTCAAACTACAGTTCTGTTTGCTTGACAGTTTGCAGATATTATGGTGTACAATATTCTGCTGTTTCCCAAATACCTAGGCCACTTAGGTTCTATGTACTGTACTGTACATTTGTTGTTGAACAGATAGAAATTTTGTCTGTTTCTGTTTGACCTCATATATAGTACCATAGAATTTCTAGTGATGAGTGATGTAGTTGGACTGTAACACACTATCTTACCAATTCTGGAGGCTGATCAATTTTTTGTTACTTTGGGACATATACAGTACTGTACCAACAGCTCATTGGGGGAGTGGGTCTGAGTGTGACCAGAAGAGCTAGGGTTGTGTTGATGGGTGGTAGGTTGGACTGAGAGATGTTAAAAGTAAAGAAGATTTTTTGTCTTGGGTGTCTGGATGACTGGATTATATTGCAAATTTAGAATAACAGTTAGACAAGATGCAGGGTACTTTCTTCTAACTTTGTAGGGCTGTCTCACTTCACTCTTGGTCAGATTTTCCAGTGGCTAAGTCTCCAGTGAAATACAAGGAGTGGTGCAGGTGGGTATTTGGTAGATAAAATCAAGTCTCTTTTTATGGAGATCCATATTCTGAAATCTAGGAGGTTTATTTCTCACAGGTGTGTGAGGAAATAGTGAGTTTATTGTTGCAGTTGAGGTGGTGCAGCTTGGGTCTGTTTCTGTGGAATGTCATCTTCTGATTAAATTTGTCTTCAAGAACCAAACATTGAATTGATTAATTAATAATGTACATAATATTTTATTTGAAATGCTAAGACTTGTGAAAGTTGGTTGCTGGCTAGTAATTTTTAAATTGACCAAACTGACTGAGTGACTGATTGAAAAGGTTAATACTGTATAAAATCCTGTACGGTAGTGAAATGGCATCTGCTTTCCAGTGCTTCGGAATTTGTCAGAGGAAATATTTTAATGTAATTTGGCATCTGTCTTTTAATTGGCATTTTTTTCCATATTTGCAGGCCCATAAGAGAGTGAAGGTTACCAAAGATCACATCATTAAGGCTAAGGGGGAGGTGGACTCAGATTCACCGTCAGCGAAGAATCAGGTCAAGAAGTCGCTCCTCTGTAATGTACACACTAAGGTAATTGGCTGATCATGGTATTGACTTGACCGGATGATTAACCTGTCTCATGCTGTACTCCATGAAGGTGTGAATGCTGTAGTAGTTATAAAAGCACACGGATCTTTATAAATTTGTTTCCTACTGATTACTTCAGTAGTGTGTGTGTGTGTGTGGAAAAATAACAAAAACATTAATAAGCTCAATTTATAATGCAGTACTTTCATGTTTTACAGGAAAAGTTAAACCTCTACTGTCAGACGTGTGATCAACTGACGTGTAGAGATTGTCAGCTCATTGAGCACCGGGAGCACAAGTACAAGTTTTCGGAGGAGATGGCGGGTCTCACCAGAGATCGTTTGAGACAATTCCTCATGGATATCCGGAAAAAGAGAGGCTATATAGAAAATGCTAAGGAGTTGGTAGCGGAGCGAAGACAACAGATTCTGAACAAACAAGAGTCAGTGCAAGCTGATATTAATAGACTAGTCGAAACGTAAGTAGTGTTGCCGCAATCACTTATTTTTGGTATTTCAGTTTGTTCACTTTATGTTCATAGTTCAGTCAGTTCTGGATAGTATCTTACAGTAAGTCAAGATATTCTTAATTATGTCAAAATTTACGTTATTTTATGTTTGAATTTTTCTGTTTTGAAACGAGGCTAATCAGTGGTCTTTCACGTGGTGCTTTGCATTATTATTCTTCACTTGTGAACTGATCACAGGAATAGTTTTCATAGACACCTGAAATGTTTGTTAAATTGGCAAGTACAGTAGAACGTCGATATAACGAGAGGAGAGGTCGCTTTAAACCGAATTCGCACTAAATCGAAGTGTTGTTTCAATGGAATAATTTAGTTTGGTACTTGAGAGAAACACAATATACTAAAACGACTGAGAGTCTACCCAGATGCACTTTAGCCCATCTAGAATAAACAAAACATTGTTTTTTGTAGTATTATGTTAAAACAAACACTCATAAATCAACACAGCTAAAATTAAGAGAGGGAGGGAGGTGAGGTGATATCTTTGACAGTTGATGCCAAGGTCAAGTGCTAATTTATTTATCTGTCCTTAAGAGTGACTTTAAGTTTTTCTCTTATAAAATGTCACTAAACTGACCTGGGAGAATATAATTAACATTGCTGGAATTCTTATAAGATAGTGATTAGTTTGAATATAAACATGCTATAGTTCGCATTAGACATACAAATTTTAGTTCTAACTACAGTAAAACTTCGATTAACCGCCCATATATGGGAGGAAGGGGCCGACGGATAATCCAAAAGGTCGGTTAATAACGAATAAAGTCTACGGAAATAACACATATATTTTCAAAGTACCTATCCCTAACCTACCTCATTTAAGTCCCTCTATTCATTTTGTTCATTTGCCATTCACATTTCAATAGAATTTGCTTTAAACCATTAATCACTTTAGTAAATAAATATGAACCAGCACAGAAACCGTGAATAAAAAACGGAATAGTCAAGGAACATATGTCATCACGAAAATTGTGACCAAGTCCCAGGTTGCTGATCTGACTTTGCCTCATTTACACACAATTGCAGGGTCTCAATTATTTATCTTACTAGTGACAACACAACATACATACAGGTATATTGTTTCTCACTGTTGATATTTTTTCATTTTGCATTTCTTTATGGTTCTTTATTATTATTATTATTATTATTATTATTATTATTATTATTATTATTATTATCATTATTATCATTATTATTACATTATCGCCCCCCAGGCCCTGATGTGGGTAAGTGACCTGTGCCCGAGTGGGCTAATCCCCATAAAAAAAAAAAAAATAAATAAATAAATAAATAAATTAGGGGGTATGGGATCGGCGGTTAATCCGAAAGTTGGTTAATCGAGGTTTTACTGTAATTATATTAAAGGGCTAAGAAATTTTATCTCTTGTGCAAAATATATGACGTTTATATTCAAATTATTTGCTGTCTTGCAAGGATTCTAGCAATGCAAATTATATTCTCCTAACTTTAGTCTGTGATATTATATAAGATAAAAACTGTAAGCCTACTGTATAACCCCTAAACCCTGGTTGGGAGGGGGAGAGGGAGAGGAAGGGGAGGTGACAGTGACATGTTTGACAATTGGCGCAGAAGGTCTAGTGAAGTATTTATTTGTTTATTTATGTCCTTTAGATTGAGTTTATGTTTTTTGTTTATAAAATGTCACAGAAGTGACCGGGGAGAATATAATTTACATTGCTGGAATTCTTATTAGATAGTGATTAATTTGAATATAATCATGCTATACAGTAGTTTGCACAAGACAAAAATTTTAGTAATTATTTAGTACATTATTTTGAGTACATGTACAGTACAGCTCTGCCCTTAGGACAGCGTAACATGCCCAGAGAAACATTAGGCGTGAATTTTAAAATATGATGCCCCAGATTGACTCACGCAAAATAGGAAAGATTCACTTTAAATTAAAACATTGTCCTTAATTATGGGTATCGCTTTAAATCAATACAGTGGTTCCTCGGTTAACGAAATTTCGGTTAACGAATTAACTTCCATAAGAATCTTAAATTCGATTAACGAACAAAAATTTGATTAACAAAATCCTTACGAAAATCACATTTTGTTTTGAACATCAACTGGTCAGCTGAGGGGGTACTCAGCCAATTCAGTAATGTGTTCTATGTTTATATTCGTTTCCAGTGGAGTAAATATCAATAAAGTTGTGCATTATAATATTTATGCATGTTTTCTATTAAAATTATTAGTAATTTTAACATTTATTTAATATATTGATAATACTGTATATGCAGTACAGGGAACTAGTTAGTTGTGCACACATCAGATGCGTGAGTCGGTTACAAAGCTCAGTCTGGCTTTGTTTACAATCGAGAGAGCACCTATTTTGTTGGTGTCTTGAATATTTTTGCATTTTTCATTGAAATTATTGGTCATTCTGAACTTTCGTTAACTTATTGATAATATATAGCACAGTGCAGTGTTGATTTAAATAAAATAATCTTGAATTACACCTAGTGAACTTAAAATTTTATTGGTGAAATTACTGCATCAAGCATGAGTCCAAAGAAAGGCAATTTCTCCTCCATCCCCACTTCCTTCTCTTCTCCCTTCTCCTCCACCCCCACTTCTAATTCCCATCATCATCATCAACCAGGAACCTTCTACATACACACTTCAAAGTAAGTGTACTTTACTGCATTTTTTTTTTTTTTACTTTGTATGTACTTTTCGGTGAGCTGGAACCAATTACCCAATATTCCATTGAAACAATGGATTCGGTTCACGAAATTTTCAGTTAACGAACGACCTTCTGGAACGAATTGTATTCGTTAACCGAGGGACCACTGTAATCTTAATTGAATCGCTTTAAATCAACGTTCTGCTGTAAATAAAATTAGTAGTCTTTGGAAAGTTACTTCTAACTCTATAGTGTATTAACCCTTAGCCAGCGGCAGCAGTGACTGAAGAAGCGCCGAATTTAAAAATCGTCATTATATAGATGCCGCCGACCACTGGAGTGGAACATAAATAAAGTTACACCGCATTTTGTGAAATTTTAACACCATCTATATATAGACTCTACCGCAATATGGAACAGTTGCTACATTTCATGAACATAGCAAAGATGCTTTTAATATTAAAATGTGAATTTTGTAAGTAGCTATTACGGTATTTATATTCGTATAAGTAAGGTACGTGGAGTCACTCACACCCACAGCCAAAGCTGTGTCCAGGATTTATGGCCTGGATGTGGTGTCCCTCCCATCCTCCCTTACTATATTGTTGCCTTACTGTTGCTTCTTATGGCATTTATTCATTCACTGCTGTCACTCTCCTACGTTGGAAGGCTCTCTGATGTGTGGTAAAACATGGAGTAATACACAGTCCAACTTGACAAGCATCACAGCTGTAGATACTTCTCCTCACTTTCTTTTGCATTGCACAGTAAGTACATCTCCTTTGAACCTTCTTTGTACTACCACCTTCAGCTGACTCTGTCTCTATTGGGAAATGTCTTCCACTCAGTCTTGTAGGGCATGGCCCAAGAGTCACTGAGCTTGTGGGTTTCTTTATCCAATAAACATCTTTGCTATATGCAGACACAATCTGTTCAATCAAGAGCAACTTGAAGTCAAGGAGGTTTTTCTGGCCTCTATTTCTCTCGTAGATTACATGGCAGTTATGCAAACTCATTTCTATCAGCCTGAAAAATAGCTTCTTGTTGCACAGGCACTTTGTAATACCCTTGCGCTCCTTCTCTTTTCTTCACAGACCTTGGCAGTATATTTGTTTGTCTCTCTCACTATATGTTCTATTATATCTCTGTCTACAAAAGACAGAAAAATCTCTATTGGGTTCTGAGGATCTTGCAAAACTACTTTGATTCCCGTGTTTCCAGTAAATGGAAATCGTTCTCTACTAACTGGAGAATTGCTCAACCATCCAACTGGAGCGCTGTCATCTTGACCATCAACTTCTGCACCTGACAGAATATCATCTGGTTCCTCTGTAATAATCTCAAGTTGTGATTCATCACCACCATCAGTGTCAACATCACCACTATCTGATTTTACATCATCACTAATATCATCCATGAATTCATCATCAAAATCGTGGTCTAGACTCTAGAATATACTGTATTTCATCATCAGGAATGTTCCTCCTACGGAACATAATTATGGCTATAATTTCTATATACAGTACAGGCAAAGAAAATAAAATGTAAAAGAATGGTGAAATGCCGAACAGACAAAAAAAATACAGTACAGTATTACCCCGCTTTACGCTTTTTTTTTTACGCGTTTCCACATTTACGTGGTACCCTGCCAGACCCGGAATGCTCACTTTACGCGGTGCATGTACTCTTTTACGCGGAGAGCGGCGCGGGCAGTGTGCGCACAAGGTCGCCCAGTCATCAAAACATTACCGAGTTTTTCACCCGCCACCCACCACAGCCGGCCCAAGTCAGTGATAGTGATAATTATAGTGAGGATATGGACTTATATGAACTTCGAGGGGTTTGACAAAGAGGCCCTGCAAGCCTCTGTGGTGGATAGTGATACAATTGATACAAGTGATACAGGTGAGGGCCAATAATCTGCCCTCTGCCTCGGAACCAATCCCCCATCCCCGTGTGCCCAGCCATCTTTTCTACTAATGTAAGTGTTAAATAACCTAATATTATTGATATTTCTCTTAATTATTAATTGTGTGTGCATACCATCATAAAATTAAGAAGTAATTTTTACTACATCGTAGGTATTGTGTCTGAAAAAGTGGAGTTTGGGGGTCGGCCCAGTCTCTATTTCAATTAATCCCATATGTTCTGTTGTTCACTTTAAAAGTTTCCCGCTTTACGCGGGCCTCCGTGGGTTCAATTGACCGCGTAAAGCGAGGTTTCACTATAATTGCAAATTATATCTGACAAAACTTAGCTCTCTTCAAAATATCAAAACAAAGAATGGAAATTCAGCTCCACAGATGAGACCAAAGAGAGTGCTCTGTACCATATGAAAGCTGGGAACAGACTGTTCGAGTGATTGGAGCTTTAGGCGGCTGGCGCCAGCAATCAGGCAAGCCATCGCTACCCTTGAGTTGCTAGTTAGGGATTTCTGAGGCTCTAGGACACACATACATATCCGACTATATATAGTCTCAGCTGGGAAATACAGGAGATGAATTTTGGAGAAGCGTCTATATACAGTATAGTCTCACCGCAATTTTTCAGCACATTCCGGACCCTCTATACGTATATAGTTTGGCTGCCGGCCAAGGGTTAAAGATGGTCGGCCATTATCAGTACTTTTCTAACAGATATTTTATGACAATATTATATTGCTGTATACATAACAGGACTATTTATTCTTACAGTACATAATAAAGTAGAACTATGAAAATTATCAGATGTTTTAAAAGATGCTACTGTATTGTAATAGTGACACAAAAGAACAAATTCTGTGTGTCCTACTTAGTGTAGCAGGAAAGCGACATACAGGTTTGTTGTTGGTGGAGGAAATCCATTTCTGGACTTCCTCTAAGAAAGATTTTCAACTGTGGGTCTTTAAAGTGAGAATAAGACCTCCCTGGAGACTGAAGCTTACTTTCCTTAACATTTTTGCTTCCCATTCTGACCTGGGCTTTTCCTTCTTGTTTTGGAATATTAATCCGAGTTATTTGTAAGCTTAAGTAACCTAAAGATTACCCAATTTGGAGGTCATCTTAAGAGCCTCTTATTTCACCTTTCCTCTCTTTTCATCAATTTTCCGTTTTTAGTTTATGAAGTAAATATTTCTCCTAAATGGTATTGTCAATTTTCAGGTTCATTGAAATTATTAGACAGCGTGGGAACACCCTGTTTGACTTATTACGTGAAGTGTGTAACAGTAAACAGGAACAACTGGATAAGAAGAATGAGGTGCTACTCCACCTTGGCTCACAGGCTGACCACTGTATCACCGTGGTGGAGGCAGTTCTCAATACATCTTCAGATATGGCTCTTCTCTATTCTAAAAAGTGAGTACTGTACTGTACTTTGATGTAGGTCAAATTTGAAATCTAATTTATGTCCTAAAATGTTTCAGAATATATGAATGAGGGAGTTGGGTGTGAAAAAGATTGCTAATATTTATGACCATTAAATGTACAAGAGCTTGTGAGAGTTCAGAGTTGTACTGTAGGTATTGTTGTATAGTAGAAGCTGTGTAGTTCTGCAAAGGAATACAGTATTGGGCAGTATCAGTCAGAGATGGTTTAATTAACTTTATGTTAAACCCATGGATTTACAGTGCAATTTCTTTTTTTCTGAATGAATCTTAACTCTCCAAATTTTCCAGGTATCTGAACTTTTTCCCGTGGCCCCATTCCGCAAAAATTCTCATTTTGTCCACCAGCAGCCCTGTACATACACACCCATGCTCTTCATTTTTCTTATTTTATAGATATGTATTATATATATACAGGGGTTCCCCGGGTTATGAACGGGTTCCGCTCCTGGGGACGTCCGTAAGTCAACACATACCCTATGTACACTATATCATATCCCAAGTCCTTTTATACATCTCGAATCACTTAAGTTAAGAGACAACAAGAAATTGAATGATAAAGTACAGTAAAGAAAAGTAAAAATTAAAGTTTAACACTTACATTAAAACATGGGGCTGGCTTGCATGTAGAGATGGGCATTTGTAGGAGTGACAGAGGCTTCTTACATTAAAACATGGGGCTGGCTTGCATGTAGAGATGGGCATTTGTAGGAGTGACAGAGGCTTTATTGGGACGAAGCTGAAGATGGTGAGGTAGAATAAACTGGTTCTGGGGTTACTGGGAGTTGTTCTGTAGATGCTGGAGAGGTTAGTGGGACTGGTTCTGTAGATGCTGTAGAGGATGGTAGGACTGGTTCTGTAAATGCTGGAGAGGTTGGTGGGACTGGTTCTGTAGATGCTGTAGAGGTTGGTGGGACTGGTTCTGTAGATGCTGTAGAGGTTGGTGGGACTGGTTCTGTAGATGCTGTAGAGGTTGGTGGGACTGGTTCTGTAGATGCTGTAGAGGTTGATGGGACTGGTACTGTAGATGCTGTAGAGGTTGGTGGGACTGGTTCTGTAGATGCTGTAGAGGTTGATGGGACTGGTTTTGGCTGCCTTTCGATTTTCTTAAAAAAAATTTCAAGGGATGGTTGAACTGAATCTTTCTTCTTTTCCTCATAAATATCTGTAGCATCGTAAACATTCAGTAATACCTCTATGAACCTTGGTGAATCTTGCTATGTTGGGATATTGCAGTTCAGATGTAAACAATCCTTTTTCAATGAGCCTGAAACCTTCAGCCATTTCTTTTGTAACAAATCGCTTTGGCTGTGGAGTTTCAGCTTCCTCTACATCCTCTGACAATCAGGTGTTCATTGCCTAATTCTTTGGCAGGAGACTCAAGCAACTCTGTGACATCATCCTCATGAATATCAAGCTGGAGTTGGTTTCTAAGGTCTATCGCTCTTGTGTCACTTCCCCAACATCATCTTCAAAGCCCCTGAAATTGTGGATAAACTGTGGGCAGAGTTTTTTCCAAACACCATTCATGTTGGTTTCTTTTACCTCAGCATATGACTCTGCAATGTTTTTCACAGCATCCAAGATGGTGTAGGACTCCCAAAATTCCTTTAAAGTCCTACCCTCTTTTCGTTCTATTGCCCTGATAGCTGGAGCAAATGTTCTTCTTGGGTAATATGATTCAAATGAAGCAATAACTCCCTGGTTCATCGGTTTTAAACAGATGTTGTGTTTGGAGTAGGTACACAGCCTTAATGTTTGGATGAACATATCCAAAACTGCTGGATGGCCAGGTGCATTGTCAAGAACCAAGATAATTTTAAAAGGCATTGACTTTGAAATGCAATACCATTCCACTTTAGGCACAAAATGATCAAGGTACCAGTCTTCAAAAAGGGACAATGTCACCCAAGCCTTCTTATTAGCCTTCCAGATAACTGGAAGTACTGCCTTGAAAACACCCTTCAAGGCTTTGAAATGCATTTAGTATGATATAATAAAATCTAAAAACAATGTAATTCCATTTTTATTTTAAGGAATAGCAAAAAAAAAAAAAAAATTGGGATATTTTAAAATCTGGGCACACTACCAAGGATGTGATTTATCTTTATTTTTTCCTTTCTCTTCCGATTTCCCCCATCGTTTTAGGCAACCCCTCGAATCGCATAGATCCGTTGAGGAAAATTGGGGGGGGGGGGGGTGACCATGATGAGAGAAATGTTTGACAATAAATAAAAATAATTGACCCTTTAGGGTCAATGGGTCTGCCGCGCGAGGACGATGAGCCAGTATAGTGGCTGCACACTACATGTTCATACATTACGACATATACTACTCTATTTCTCATTGGCTGAGTATTGCTTGTTTTACATTTCATTCTTCGATTCTTAAGTATTTCATTGACCAAAAGATCAATGACTTCATATAACACCACTATTAGAAGCATTATAATATGTTCCCCCACCTTATCCACTTGATCCACGGTGGCGGGGGAAGGGCTAAGCATTTTTCAATACAGTATAACTAAGTTTCTATAACTGTTTTACACTTTCTGATGATCACAATTTATTTTACTATCCATGCCATATTTTATAGTTGTATAGGCAATTCAGTAGGGTGTGTGTGTGTGTCCCAGGAGGTCAGGGCTGTAGGGCATGTGTGTGTGTGTCCCCCAAGAGGTCAGGGCTGTAGGGCATGTGTGTGACCTCCAGGATGTCAGGGCTGTAGGGCATGTGTGTGTTCCCCAGGAGGGGGACCCTATAATAGGAACATAAAACTCTCCAGCGGTAGGTATAGAAGCATGCTAAAGCAGAAGAGGTTGCAACAGGAAGAAAATAAAGGAAATTTTTGTTAAAGACACAGTTAGAATCAAAGAAAACAGTGTGAGGAAATGGCTCAAAAATCAAGGAAGAGCAGAGAGGCCTTCCAGCAACGAGAACAGAAGTATTTACTCTCCCTGAAAAAACTATCTGATGCAGTTAAAACTAAGACTAAACAGACCAATGAGTGACTATTACATGGGAAAGAAAACTAAATATTTTGTTTGTATATATTATTGAAACCCCAGTTGCTGGTGCATTAGAGGTAAATCCCTTTGGTAAGTATTAAATTTTTAATTTTCACACCATACAGTGCAAATAAAGCTTACCTTTTAGTTTATATTCTCTCAATAATGGTGCACAATTAAAAATATTAAACAAATTCAAGTTTAGTAACAACTAAAATTTGTAAAAGACTTATTAAAACAATATGCATGAAAACTATTGTTGCAATAAACATACATGTTTGGTTTTGGGTACTGTGTATTTTAACTATTAGGCACTCACAAAATGAGTAACAATGTGAGAAATTAGGTTAAATGTGGTAAAAATTTCCCTGTTAGGTGCTTCCCCGGAACCCCCAGCTTAAATTTTTTTATTAATTTTTATTTTTATTATTTTTTTATTTTTATTTTTATTTTATTTTTTATTTTTTTTTCAAGACCCAATCACATCCCTGACTATGAATTGTTATTGTTGCTTGATTTGAGTTCCATGTCCACCTACCAGCACAGTGATTCAGTTTTCATAGGTTGCCTTTAAAAGGAAGAGTTGGGCTTCATATTTGGTGTTAGATTATACTATTTGTATATTTACTGGCTTATATTTTGGAAATCATTAGAAATCATTGGATAATATCATCCATAAGATGTGTAAGGGGGAGGGGACTGGGAGGTTGACGGTTAGGGGTGGTCACAGAGTCACCGAGTTTTGTGGAGAAGAATATTGCCAAGTATTGTTTCTGTATATTAAAGATAGATGAAGGTGGAAGGGACCTAACATGAGTTAAGAGCATAAGCTAGAAAAATCTAACTTTTTGTATAGAGTCAGAGCTGATAATAAGCTTTAATACTTCTGTGATCCTGACAACACCTCTGCTGCATTGTGATTGGCTACTGACATTGTTAACGTCACCACTGCATGGAAAACTTCAAAATTTTACAATATGTAAACACATATCTCCGAGTCATAATAACTCCTCCTACCTTTCATCTATAATTAACCATCAGAAATCAGTAACATGACAAATGTATGCTGCACACACCCCCACCACCTCCTTCCACCCAGCCCCGTACCCACTGTTACCGGAAGATGGACTCTACCAGGTGGTTTGCGATTTATATACTGGTCTCACACTGATGGGGGTTCACATTTGTTGGAGAGTGTAGCACTTGGAACCTTCCCCAGCTGTACACATACGAGTCCACCGTGACTCATATGTTCACCATACACCCAATATTCACCCAACACAGACAGTCCTACATAACTTTAATAAGTTATGTTTCTCAGTGATTACTAGTTGTCACTGAGTACCTGAGGTCAGTTGACTGTGCACCCAACAGCTCCTGTGTTGGGGAAAAGCACTAATAGAAAAGAAAAAAGGAATATAACCATTTGTGTATGGACCCCCTCTTTGCTGAATAAATTTGTCGGTCGTTAGCCCAATAAAATATTAAAGATGGCGTCCCTATAGTGAAGGGGTTAAAGTAATTTTTTTTTTCAGGTTGCTGATGGAGCAGGTATTAAAAGTAGACAAAGATTCTCCTGATAGAAGTTTATTTGACCGCTTTAAGGCCAAACTTAACTCAGGGGATGACATATCTCTAAGAATATCCAGTGAGTCTCGGGGACTAGGGAAAGGTGAGCAAATTTAAACTTTTTTATTTAGTTGATTACATGATAAATATATTTTTTATGTACTGTAGAAACTATAAATGTGTGTGTTTATGTATGTGTCATGCACCAATTGTATGTGTTTATAGGCTGTGCCACCCAGTAAAGAGTGAGCTTACTAGCTTACTCTTCTTTGCTATTTGAATTATTTTTAGTATACCTGTTTATCCTTCCACCTTTGTGTGAATTCAAGTACAGGTTATAGAAACCATAAAGAAAGATTAGTGGGAATAAGACAGGTTTGGGTGATGGGAAGGGGCTAAGACAGCAAGTAGAAAAAGCCTCTTCAAGTAACTTGATGTGTCCTCAACTTGTATATGCAGAATACAAAGTGTACTTTATACTGCATATAGAAGAAGAGTCCTCTCATACAATTTGTTTTTACAGCATTAAAAGATGTAGGCTATCTGTTGGTGGATAACAAAATATACCCAACACCTGATGGAGCAGTCCAGAACAAAGCTCGTTCTTCTCAGCCCTCTCCTGTGGACCAGTCAGCATCCCCACAGCCCCCGCAGCCTCCACAGCCTCCAGCACTCACACCCATGCACTCACATATCCAGCAGCAACAGCATCACCTTCAGGTAATGACAATCTGTAGTTATATACAGTAATCATTCCATATAATGGAATACAACATGCAGGCTAATTCTGCAAGAAGGATTCTGCTAACTCGAATCTGGTTATACCTCTGGCAGTGAAGTGGATATGTTAATGAAGTTCACTTTGTCCTCCGAAACTTTGTTTTCCGAGTTAGATTTAAATGGGAATAGGTTCCAGTCCCTTGTTATTCTGTATTTTGTTTAAGTGAAAAATTAACAAAAACTGTTTTAAATAAACAATAAAAATGATATCTGGAACATCATGAAATATAATAGCACACATTTTATGTAAAAAAAATATATTGGCGATGCTGAGAGTGAACCACACAGTTCAGTTGGTCAGCTGACTCAGGTATGTGTGGCTGCTACACTGTGCTGTGTGTATGCTGTGATGTCACATTGGGCCCCGGGGAAGGAGCGAGGTATCGGCTGGCTAGTGAGTTGTGACATAGTTACACCAGCTCACTGCCTACACACATATTGTACAGTCAACCAAAGATGCATCGACTCCACCCTTGCTCTAGTACTGGCAATTTTACCTGGCAATACTTAATGAAGTAAGGCTGAATGTAATGGGGAATGTGATTGGTGGATCTATTTTTGGCTGTATCACTGTTAGGATAAATATTAAACAACCCAGAGGTAGCATTTTTATAATATTAAGCTAGTCTTCATTTTTTAAGATCATGAGAAGTTTCCAAATGTTTGAATATTTTCTTAAATAATGAAGAAAATTATATTAATGAATTGGCAATGCAGCTACATCCAGGGCTGCCACAATATTCTCAATCAAATTTCAAGAATACCCTGTACATGTTCCACATTTAACCTTGAGTGTTTGATGAAGGCACTAATTCTCTTCACAATGTGAGCATTATATAATATAATTTGATGTAAATTTGAGGGCAGACACTGTTTAATAGACTCATCTGACACAAATAATAACATGTGGTATCCCTTCACCAGCGCCCCACAGATCACCAAGTATTGCCAGGTAAAATTGCAAGTACGAGAGCCAGGGTGCGGTCGATGCATCTTTGGTTGACTGCACTTTCACTTCCCACACATACACACCTATGCTCTTCTTTGTTCTTATTTTATAGCTTTATATTACATTTTCTATATTTCTAAGTCACATTAAAGTATTGAAATTATTTTTCCATAACATGTAACAATGGCAGTATGCCTAGCCATCTCACAGCTGACTGGTGACATGTTATGGGGAGTTCTATTATTACTTACAATGGTTATTTTAATCATATTAGATGCTCTTTGCACTATTGATATGTCATTCTTGGGTACTGAGTGGTTAGGCAGTAAGTAGACTGTTGGAAACCACTTGTAAAAATACTGAGAGTGAGAGATGGTTGTCAGCCACCAGACAACCACCGGAACTGACAAAAATGCCCGATGATGCCCGAAACTCAACGTATACATTTCAAACCATCCGAATGTGCACTTCTTTTGATTTTGCACATATTATATAGAATAATATGTACAGGATATTAGGATATTATCGAAATAACTGATACAGGGGCTAATACAAATTTCTAGTTTCTGTAAAATTGAGAGATGCACTCTTTTACCCTTCTCTTCACCGAATTTAGCATGGTGACAAAGATGTTCATGCACACACCTTGGGAGAATGCAAAAAAACCTGGGAAACCACATCAATGTGTGGAGAGACAGGGCAGGAAACTGACTGATCGCTCTAAAACAATAATGTGTTGGGTGTTACCGGAAATTCCCTTTATCTAGATTATAGCAGAAGGCTCATCTAGATGGAAACGCAAATACCGGCACAAATTTGTTCTACTAAATCAAATTTCCAAAAGGAATTCCATTATAAGGAATGATTACTGTACTGTACAGTAAGCTCTTGATGTATGCAGGTGGTTATACTCTTGAAAGACTTCCTGTATATTAGAATTTTGCTGATTTAAATTAACTTCTAATGGGATACAGGGCTATATATTCCTAGGTAAAAAAAATGTGACTATCACCCCTAGATCTCACTTTTCTCAAACAAATGATAAAGGTCTGAAATGATGGATGAACATTATTCAACCCCACACACTACTGTACTGTACTTACTAAACACTTTAACATGGGTACATAAGTGGATATTGTACAGGATAGATCACCCAGTCTGGACATATTTAGTTTGTTAATCCTTAACCCATTTAAATGTTATATAAAATAAGCATTATTTACTTAGATCCACACCTTTGGTATTTCTTTGAGTGAAATTTCTGACCCAATCTACTTGCTGGCCATCAGAGGCAATCACTATTTCAGAAGATGGGTTACTAGCTGTACAGTATTTACTTTAATTGCAAAAAGAATCATTTTTCCTCTTAATTACAACCATGATATGGCTAGTGCTTCCATGAAGAATTCAGAATGTTAGAAACAGGGATCCCACAGTCATTGAAAAACTGGAAAAGCCTCTGAAATAAAATGTGCCATGGAAATGTTTTGGAAAAATCTGATAAACTTTCCAGTCATGGGAAATGAGAAATTAAATTTCAGCTTTACTTTTCCATGGATGATTTGTAGATCATGACATTAAGCGTAGAGGTCATTGGATATCTTGGTATGACAGTTTTTAATTTTCTTAATTGAACATATATACTGTACTGTATTGTGGGCCTATAATTTTCTATAGAGTATTAGTGGGCCCTCTTTAAAAAAAGGGCATGTACACCTATATTTATATTTTGTCAGTTGTAACCAAAACTTAAAAACTACCATAACAACATGAAGAAATGAAAGCAACACCTTATTGAAGTTGTTAGAAATCAGTATTATATTATAGATTGTTAATAGTAGCCTAAAATGTTCCACCGGTATAAAATTAACAATAAGTTCTCTTCAGTTGACTCCCAATATCTACCATTCAAAAATACAATATATTATGTTTACAGAGTGGGGGTAATATGCATCATAAATTCCATACCTTTGGTCCTGCTCCTCCTGGTGCTGCAAACCCACCAGGCCTTGTGAGAATACAGCCCAAGCCTTCTGGTCAGCCCCACCCTGGCCCCAGTCACACCAGCTTTGCCAGAATGCCACAGTTAACTCAAGGAAGATCTTCAGATGTGTCCTCATCTGTCTCTTCTACAACTCATCCCATAGGAGAGAATAGGTGTGTATTTTTGTACAGTATATGGGCCATAAAGACTTGTAAATTTATCTCTGAGACCACCCATGAAATTTCACATTGGTCAGAGTCTGGTTGTGTCCAGAGGGATGCAATTTCTGGTTCTTTGTTTGAGTGGTTTAGGTTTTACTGTTCACTTAGGAGTGTTTCTAGGTCATAAATGATCCCTGAAACTATATTATATAACTTTGGAAATCAGGCAAGTGAATGGCCTGGGTTCACTTCCTTCCAAAGGGAAATCCTGAAGTAGCAAGGATTAAGGAATTGGTGATTAGAAGTACCCCGGTATGTGTTATCATTTGGGGTCCTTGAATGGGTGTACCAGAGAGATTTTATTCCTATAAACTTCATTGGCTTTTGAAGTAATTACTAGGTCTGAGACATGAAGCCGCAGAGGGAGAAAATTTTGGTGACTCGGCAACATAAGATCCAGTCTTCTCTTGCACTCCAGTTAGGCTCTGCCATGTGGAGAATCTCAATCTCACAGGTAGTCTCATATATCATTCACACATCAACAGTATAATAAAGTGGGATTTCATTAATTAATCTTATTTATTTTAGATTGAGATTGACTTGCTGCCATTAATCAGTTCTCCTATGTTAATTATGTTAGTATGTTAGTATATTTCTTAACATTTAAAGAAAGGATCTCGTGCAACATGGAGTTATATTCTTGAAAATACTGTGTAGGGCAAATCTGCTATGGGAAAACTTAATAGGCTAAAATAAGGTTAAGGGGAAGTTGGAAAAAAATTTAATAGTTGTAACCTGATCTAAAAGGTGAATACAATTTATTATATACATAGACATGTACAGTTGCAGACAAAATTCCCTGGAAACTTGGCAGTATCTGGCATGTAATTACGTGAGGATCATTAGGTGAAGGGATTGGAATTTATAGTATTTTCTCAGATTTTTCTTTATATTAAGAAGTGGGTTTATTTAATTTTTTTTCTATTTTGTGGTTCCGACATAATATGTGATGAAAATCAGTGTTATTAAATACACCAATCATATACATGACCTAGAAGTAGATGCCAGATATTGCCAAGTCTTTAACTGTACATAAATGTGAAATAAATAGGCAATTATTAATGTGTACAGTAGAACGTCGATATAACATGAGATACGTTCCAAGAGAGGTCACTTTAAACCGAATTAGCTCTAAATCGAAGTGTTGTTTCAATGGAATAATTTAGCTTGGTATTTGAGAGAAACACAAAATACTAAAAAGACTGAGAGCCTACCCAGATGCACCTCAGCCCATCTCCTGGAATAAACAAAACATTGTTTTTGTAGTATGTTAAAACAAACACTCATAAATCAACACAACTAAAATTAAGGGATGCAAAATGGTCTGTTTACTTACAATCAGCTGATGTGAGAGGGTGGTGTTTCTGGCGTCGTGCATCACCCGCCTCTAGTCTGACCCACCAAGCACTTTCACTTTCCTCTCAACTTAGTTTTTCATTACTTTATGCTGGCCCTCTTCCTCCCCGACTGAGAGTTTACCCAGATACATTAGAACTCATAAATCACTACTGTAATGTAATACAGGTCCACAATCCCTTATCCCTTATTTGAGGTGTATAATGTCTACATTCAAATTATTCACTGTCTTGCAAGAATTCTAGCAATGCAAATTATATTCTCCTAACTTTAGTCTGTGACATTTTATAAGGTAGAAATTTTAAGCCTAAAACTACCTTCACCCCTGGGAAGGGGGAGGTGATGTGTTGACAGCCAGGCAGGGGGGAGGAGTGGGGGGAGGTGAGGTGAGGTATTCACCAGCCGGCGGGGACATTAATCCTGTGTGACTTATCTGTTTTCGCTTATAAAATGTCACTCAATTGACCGGGAGAACATAACTTCACATTGATGGAATTCTTGTAAGACAGTGATTAATTTGAGAATAAACATGCTGTAGTTTGCACTAGACAAAACAAAATTTGTAATCATTTAATACATTTGAGGACAGTACAGTGTGGGCATGTAAATATGATTAAAAAATAATGGAGAAAGTTATGTAAATCTACCCAAAAGTACAGTTGAAAAACTTGTACATTACTAAATTGTACTAACATTTTTATCTCGTGCAAAATATGTGATGTCTATATTCAAATTATCCGCTGTCTTGCAAGGATTCTATCAATGCAAGTTATATTTTCCTAACTTTAGCCTGTGATATTTTATAAGATAAAAAGTTTAAGCCTAAAGCCACCAAACCCTGGTTGGGAAGATGGGGGGGTGATGTGTTTGACAGCTGGCGCCGGGAGGTCCAGTGAAGTATTTATTTATTTATCTGTCCTTTAGAGTGGGTTTTTGTTTTTTGCTTTTAAAATGTCACTGAACTGACATGGGATAATATAACTTACATTGATGGGATTCTTGTAAGATAGTAATTAATTTGAATATAGATATGCTCTAGTTTGCACTAGACATAAAATTTTTAGTAATTATTTAGTACATTTGAGTACATGCAAAGCACAGATTTGGCTTGTGTTTGGGCATTATGAACGAGTATGAGAGAGGTTTAAGCACACTAAATTGACACACACGAGAGGCAGGTGTTACTCTGACAATACCCAATACCCACACAGCAACTGGAGACAGAGAGGATGGCAGGGATGGAGCGTTTGGCGGGCTAGCGTTTGGTTCGCTTACAACCCATTTTTTTATTTTGAGCTTAAAATTGGAAATTGTAACCTAACCCCCGGGGTAATCTGCGCCAGATTTGACTGCGTAAAATAGGAAAGATTCGCTTTAAATTAATAAGGTTGTCTTAATTGTGGGTGTCGCTTTAAATCAATAATTTTAAATCGACGTTATACTGTACACGTTTGTAGATACAGATACAGTACTGAAATCAAACAAAAATCTAGTACTGTACAGAAGATTGCACTCACTGATGAAAACTAAACTTTCAATGTTCCTATGTATTATGTGCTTTTTTCTGTTAATAACTTCTCCGTCTCTTCAACACAAGGAAAGCTTTTTACTAGCATGAATCTTCTTACTAGCATGACTCTTCTTACTAGCATGAATAGTGCTTATGGTCCCAATTGTTCCGGCTAACAGAGATATCACTGTATAATGAAATTTTATTATAACTGTATTTGGCAATTAATTAGTATTTATTAAATTGTGCATAACCAAATCCGTGTTGGATGTGACCCAACTGTATCCTAAATAGAAGTGGAGTAAATTTAAGAGCATCCTCGTGGGAAATATTGTTAGTGAATTGAGAATGATTTTTTTTTTTTTTTTTGGGGGGGGGGGCAATTTTTTTAACCCCCACAAGTGTGTAAGAGTGATGTAGTGTTGACGTTATTTGGCCTACCTTCTGACTTTGCTCAAAACACTACCCTGTACAGTCATGAAAATTAACTTGTATATTCATCTTGTTGAGTATTACAGCACCACATCTAAAGGTTGCTGTCACCTCCATTTTTAAACTGTGTTCCACCTTTCTTTAGCACTGGATATTGTCACCTAGCTGTATGTGTGTCCATTAAGGGCATGTTCAGTATCTTGTGAATGTGGTAACTCAAAAAATTGGAAATGGATATTAATAAACTTGGTGCATAAATTTAACCAAACAAAAGCTTACATGTGTTTATCATCCCTTAATCTTTTTGGGAGTTATGGCTTGTTTTGTGTCTGTGACTGTGAGGAGTTATGGCTTGTTTTGTGTCTGTGAGGAGTTATGGCTTGTTTTGTGTCTGAGGAGTTATGGCTTGTTTTGTGTCTGAGGAGTTATGGCTTGTTTTGTGTCTGTGAGGAGTTATGGCTTGTTTTGTGTCTGTGAGGAGTTATGGCTTGTTTTGTGTCTGTGAGGAGTTATGGCTCGTTTGTGTGTCTGAGGAGTTATGGCAGGAGTTATGGCTTGTTTTGTCTGTCTGTGCTTGTTTTGTGTCTGTGAGGAGTTATGGCTTGTTTTGTGTCTGTGAGGAGTTATGGCTCGTTTTGTGTCTGAGGAGTTATGGCTTGTTTTGTGTCTGAGGAGTTATGGCTTGTTTTGTGTCTGTGAGGAGTTATGGCTTGTTTTGTGTCTGTGAGGAGTTATGGCTTGTTTTGTGTCTGTGAGGAGTTATGGCTCGTTTTGTGACTGTGAAGAGTTATGGCTTGTTTTGTGTCTGTGAGGAGTTATGGCTTGTTTTGTGTCTGTGAGGAGTTATGGCTTGTTTTGTGTCTGTGAGGAGTTATGGCTCGTTTTGTGTCTGTGAGGAGTTATGGCTTGTTTTGTGTCTGAGGAGTTATGGCTTGTTTTGTGACTGTGAAGAGTTATGGCTTGTTTTGTGTCCGTGACTGTGGATGGATGTTGAACTCTTGCTGTCAGCTTGTTGACCTTGGTTAAGGGTCTGGTTAACCTGCGTATTTAGGTCAGTTGACTTTCCTCGTGCACTACTGATTATTCAGTCTTAAATTTAATATACATCTTGACAAGTGCTTCAGCATTCCATTAGAAGTTGGTCAGTGATCTGTATGAGTGCACATTTTGAACTTTGTTCAGTATTTGCTCTACCTTTGCACTCAGCTTACCTGAATTTTCTCAGTTTTAGCCATTTGGACATGAAATTTTGCATGCTTCTGCCTTGGGGTAGTTTTCACCTTTGGCTGATTTTAGTGTATAAACTTTTGGTGTCACTGCACATGGGACATGTTTTTTCTGTGGATGCAGATTCTAGTTTGATGATACCTTATACTGGTGCTGTCTTTTTGTAAAATTTAATAATTTTTATTTTACTTTTTCAGTCACCTTCGAGGGCTGCTAGGGTCTGGTGGGTCGTACAAGCTGAATGCTTTTAATCCCCATTTAGCAGCCCGACTCCAACAACACCAGCAGCAACACCCGGGTCCTGGGCGACACCATGACCAACAGGGGTCCTCTAGAGGCCCAATGTCTTTCAGACAGAGTATGAATCCTGCTGCTGCTGCAGCAATGGCAAGCATTTCACAAATGGCAGCTGTATCAGCTGCTAATTCCAATCAACTTGGTATGGTGAACATGGGTGCACAATTAAATCCTCCATCAGGAATAAGCATTACACCTGTTCCTCAGCAGAAGCCAGTTCAACCCCACCAACAAGGGCATTCACAACATCAGTCACATCAGCAACAGAAACAACAACAACAACAACAACAGCAGCAGCAGCACCAGCAGCATCTCTCTTTACAGGGCATTTTACGAAATACTTTGTCACAACCATCATTAGGACCAAAGCCCGACTCACGTCAACCGTCGCCTCACAGTACTCAACAACCGCAGCTTAAGAAGGAAAGCAGTAGTCCCACTCCATCATGGCACATCCCACAAACGGCCGAATCCTCAAAATCATCCGTTAACACCTCACCGATGGTTTCCATCCCTTCAGAGAATGTAGACAACTCCTTCAAGATTGTCCTAGGGTCCAATAAAATCAACGGCGGGGTGAGTTCCTCAACTACGATCACCCCCAACACCAACACCATCACTTTCAACAGTACTTCCAACATCCCTCCCAACTTGCCCCCGCTCACCAGGATCCCAGGCTTCAGGTCAATCCTTCCCAAGCCCTCTGGAAACTCAGACGGGAAGGAGACCGCCAAGGAGGCCAGGCTCCCGAGCGATAGTTTGGGCCAGGTAAGTCAGTCTGGTTTCCTCACGGGTTCTTGCACAAATCTTGGAATATTTTGGAATATTAGTCATTCTTCCAACCATTGACTAGAGTAAAGTGTAGTCATATGATTTGCACATTTAAAGATGGATTTGCAGTGCTCATGATGCACCACTCACAGTACTTGTCACAAAATTCCTTTCAAAGCATATTGCAGGCTTTGAAAATAACCTGTCTAGCAGTTGACAGTACTGTAATTTTCACTTATGATTGAATACTTGATGAAATTTGAACAAAAGAATGAAGTTTACTTGGACACATCTACCTTCTAACTGCCTTTCCTTGTGCTTCTTGTTTCTCAGAATTCTTTATAGTCTCAGTATATCAGTACAGTGCATTTGTTCACAGCTGCAAAATCCTCCACATACTTTATTAGTGAATGGGGTTTCATCCATGTTTTTACTTTCCTGTTCATCTTTGCCCCAAATTTTGTGCTAATTTTTACAATACTGTACTGTATATCTTTCAGTCTTTTAAGCTTCTACTTTTTGTTTAGAGGGGGGATGATCCATCCAAAATTGTAATGATAATACAGTACTTTGGGCTTTTTTGCTTCTCATGTCCCGATCTCAGAAATTTTTTAGCAGCATGTCGTTCGGACATTTTGCTCTTGCATTCCTTTTTCTCTGATAGTACTTCTCAAATTTTTTAAGGCCGTTTCAAAATCTGGGAGGATTGATAAATACAGCTCGAAAAATGTTTGGAGTGGTGGGTGGTGGTCGCCAAGGCATGAGGTTCACATCTTGATTGATTGCTATAGTGATTGTCATATAGTCTGAGAAGTTGACCTCAATTATTGTCATATAGTTTGAGAAGTTGACCTCAATTATTGTCATATAGTTTGAGAAGTTGACCTCAATAGGTGTTGTGGCTTTTATTCCATAGAATTGTTAAGAATAATTAATGATAGATTCAGTCTGCAAGACAAACATTCTAATTAGTATTTGTACACCCTAAGCCTACCTACGGAGAGTAACTCTTGGAGACACAAGAAAGACATCAAGTTTGCTGTTGAAGGTGGGCTCCTCGATGAGCTGTAATAAATCTAAACTTATTCCGCAACAAAAATGTCAGAACAAATCCCGGTAGACAAAACAGTTATTCCTCCCTAGTCAGGAAATTGGTTTCCAAACCTACCCCAGGTTTGGAAACCATTGTGAGAAATTATTAAGAGATGTTAAGCTTCATGTCCTAAGTCATCCCTGTGAGGAAGTTTGTTTTGTGTAATGGCCTTCCAGTGAAATCACCTGTTAAAAATTAAGTTCATTGATTGCTTGATTTTTTTTTTCACATCTTAAGAAACATTTCAGTGGTGGAGATTATTTGGAGAATTGGCCAGGAGGAACCTTTTGGTCACATAATCTCAAACCTCTCACTTTTAACAGATGCATTAGATAAGTGTTGGAGGTTCCATCCTACAGAGGCACTTTATAGTGACAGTTGGTTCTTGATCATGAGGGACTTAATCCTCAATCAGAAAGACGTAACTTTCTGGTAAGCAGTAGTTTGCCATTTGGAGAACAAGTCCACTGTGGTATTTGTAAGAAATAAGGGATCTTCATGATCTTTACCCTTTTAGGTTATACAGTACTATATTCAAGAATGTTTTTCTTACCTCAGCACCATCATATTTCATGATGTCACCTCATGCTCTCAGTATAAAAGTATATGCTGCCTCCGGGACATCTTTAATCCCAGCAGTGGTTTATAAACCAAGACTCCATTCTCTGGACTTTATCCTTTGGGGTCAGTCCTCAAATCAATTTGTTACCCATGATGGACAATCATGAGCCATCTTTACCTGTCACTGCAGGTCCTCAGGGAGGCTTGTTGGGTGAGTTAATTTTTATAACCAGCAAGAGTGTAGGCTTGTTGGGTGAGTTAATGTTTATAACCAGCAAGAGTGTTTGGAATCAGATTTATTTACTTCCACATGTTCATCACCTTTCCCAAGTTCTAAAATTGTCTCTTTTCATGTGTTAACAATTCTCCTTTCTATCCTGGTTTTACAAGAGAATTCTGGACAAAAGAGTTTACGCTTCTACACTCATCCTGCCTTGATTATTTTGCTGCACATTTTTTGGTTGAATATAGATAATTGTAGTACAGTATTGCTAGTTTCTTTCTAGGCTTTGCTTAGGATTTAGAAGCCTTTAGCAATTTGTATGCCTTTGTTCAATGATTTTTCTTTTATTCTGGGGTTTTCAGTTTCATGTTGATGTTCTGTATCTAAACTCTTAAACACTGCTTCACCTTTGACTTGAACTTATATTCTTTCAAAGATTTATCTAGATTCCCTAACATTCACTTAAAAGATTGTTCCCTCCAGGGACCTTTGAGTTTGTGCTTAAGTTAATTGCTTCTGTCACATATTTTTAGGGGTGGCTCTCTTGAGGTGACTTCCATGAAGACTACCTTATTTATCTCCAAAGCTTTACTGTGACGGATCTCAGGAATTCCTGCGCCTTGATGGGAATATTGTTTTGTGCTTTTATGATGGTCTCCAAACTAGATGAGTTCAGGACTTAATATTAAATTTATTATAAAAATTGACACAGGCTACAGAGGTGAGTAATCCCCAGCCAACTGCATGGATAACGATCTAGAGTGGTGGTCAAAGACTGGTCTTAATGGAAAATTGGTATTAGGGGAAGTGACCCCTGAGAGAAATACCTAAGTACAAGGTGTCTCCTATACTTAAAGTTCTTTTATTATACTGTATAAAGATATTTAATAATAATAATTAACGGTTTATTTAAAGAGCATGGCAGCCGGAAGGCTGAAAATATACAATTACATAATTGGGGAATGGGTCTCTTGATTTACAAATAATACACACGCAACGTAAGTGATACAAATATGATATATAATAACTAGGTAGGGAAAAGCTCCAACTACAGGGCATTTCAACAGTGCAAAAAGTAAGTTTGACTGGGAGTGAATACACTGGTTGATTACAAGTTATTGATAATTTTTACAATGGTTGGGACTGGGCTGTTCTTATAGTGATCAGTTCGTGCTCGTATGGGCTGGATGCGGTTGTGGTGTCGAACAGCAATTCTCGGACGAGGGATCTCGGGTGGTAGTAGGAGCCGGTGTCGAGGGTGGTGCAGAAGCTTCTCACCAAATTTGCAGATGAGGTCGTGATGATGGTCAGAGAGAGCCGAGAGGGTCAGTGTGTTGAGCCCTTCTTGATATATGGAGTAGAAAGGGGAGAGAATATTCTTGCATGCCCTCTTTTGCACTTTTTCTAGGTGATTACGTTGTGTGGCATTTAGGGAGGAAGACCAGTTAGAGGAGGCATAGGTGAGCTTGGGAAGTATGAATGTTGAGTAAACAATGAGGAGCTCAGGTGCAGGAACTCCGAGGGACTTGAGTTGGGGGAGGAGGTGGAGATGGAAACTGGAGGATTTGACAACTTCACTGACATGTTTTCCAATTTAGTTTGTTGTCTATGGTGACGCCGAGGAGCTTAGTGGAATCTACAACCTGGAGTGTGTTGGGACCTAAAGTAATGGAAGGAGGTGGGACAGCGTCGGAGGAGAGGTTGATGTGCATAACCATGGTCTTGGTAAGGTTGATGGTGACGTGGTTGTTGGTGGCCCAGTTTTGGAGACACTTCAATAAATCCTGAAGGGCGGTATAGTTGGGAGCAAAATTGTTGACACTGATCCCAATGCTGGAGTCGTCGACATATTTCCAGTGAGCAGGGGTTTCTCTTCGGGCATCATTGATGAGCATAAGGAAGCAGAGTTAATTCTTTTATGTTTATGTGTTTGTCCCAAAGGGAGTTGCTTCACTTCCCTTGACGGAACTCTCCATTTGAGGAATGGTATCCCCATCCTGTTTTGGATGCATCCGTACAAACTACCAAGTCTGTTTGAGGGGGAACCCAGGGAGATGAACCGATTAGATTGTCCCAATTTTCCCACCATGACAGAAGATTCTTGATCTGAATAGGGAGAGAAGAAGCAAAATTTCTGTTTCTGTGAAGCAAATTCGACCCCAGATGAGTTAGTTGCTTCTTCCTTAACTTGCCCAAAGGAACTATTGTGGCAAAATTCAACATGCCCTGTAGTTTTTCCCAATCGTGCCAAGAAACCTCTTTCTTTGCACAAAAGGCTTCTACTTGGTTTATCACATCTGTTACCTTTGCTCCTGGTAGACTGACTGACTGCTGATTTGTGTCCCAATGGAGACCTAACCAATCCAATTTCTGACGGTATAAGATTTGATTTGATCTGGTTTATATTTAATCCTAGGTTTTGAAATAGTACTAGTGTACTTTTGGTCACCCTTTGACAATCTTTGAAAGAGTTTCCCATTATCAGCCAATCATCTAGATAAGCAAAAGTTCTTATGCTCTCCTTTGCAAGGATCTCTCTGGGGATGTTTGCCAGTTTTGTAAACATTTTTGGCACAATTGTCAGGCCGAATGGCATCACTGTGAATTGATAACTTACATTCCCCACTGCGAATACTAGAAACTTTCTGTACCTGGGAGCAACAGGCACGTGATAATAGGCATCTTCGAGATCCAAGCATTGGGCGGAAGTAGATGCCTCAGATGATCGTAAGTGAGCATCTTGAAACTTGTTTTGGTGATGAACTTGTTCAAGATGGAAGATCTAAAATCCACCTCAATTTGTCACTGCCTTTCTTGGGGACTGGGAATAGGCGAGACATGAAACATTTCTCTGGCTGCAACAGTTCTATCACACCTCTGTTTAACAGTTGAATTACAAATTCTGTAAGTAAGGGGTTGGTTTTTTACCCCTTTTTGGCAACACTAGGGGAGGGCGCCTCAACCAAGTCCATGTGAGGCCCCCTTGATTGTCTTGTAAGCCCATATGGAAGAAGTCCACCTGTTTTCCCAACCCCCTAGACAACCCAGCTGTCTGGCTTCATTGGGAGGGAATGAACGCTGATGTGGTGGAATAAGGTCTCCTTCCACTTTTGAACAAAT